CATAGATGAGATTAAAATTTCAGAATTTAAATGATCACTGCTATTTTATAATGAAGAAGTACATTATTGTTTTCCTTGTTTAAATATTTATCAGAAATATAGATGTTATATAGTCCTGGTGTGGCACTGTGGATTAATGCGTGGGACTGCAAGGTCAGTTTGAACCTCAAGGTTGGCAGTTCAAGCTCACAAGCCACTCCTTTGAAACCCTAAATAAACAAGGTTGCTATGAGTCGACATCGACTTGGCACTTAACAACAACAACAATAGTATATCTGGAGTAAGGATTTAACTTACGTAAATACGAGCAAGGTATTTTTCAAAAGCAGCATAGTAATTATCTTTCTCTACTCTTGACCAGATTAGGAAGAAACAGCAAGAAGTAGTGGGCTTTTTGGAAGCTAATAAAATCGACTTTAAGGAATTAGATATAGCCGGAGACGAAGATAATAGGAAGTGGATGAGAGAGAATGTACCTGGAGAGAAAAAACCTCAAAACGGGATTCCTTTGCCCCCACAGATCTTCAATGAAGAGCAATATTGTGGGGTGAGTAATCAATTTCATTGAAAATTCTTTTGCTTTTTTTATCAGGATTTGTTTAAAGCAGATTGATTTGAGGTAGCATTTGAAATTGTTCACAATTTATATGTCAAGATCCATTTTTACCATCCAGAGCCTGGTAGATCCTTGCTGATGTCAGATGGGTCTTGGCTGAAAGCAGAGAATACCAGAAAGATGTTTACCTGTGCTTTATTGACTACACAAAGGCTTTTGGTTGTGTGAATCATGACAAGCTGTAGGCAGCAATGTGGAGAATGAATATTCCAGAACACTTAATTGTGCTCATGAGGAACCTGTACATAGACTAAGAGGCAGTTGTTCAAACAGAACAGGGAACACCGAATGGTTTAAAATTAGGAGTATGTGCCAGGGTTGTGTTCTTTCACCATACTTATTCTATATGTATGATGAGCAAATAATCTGAGAAGCTGGATTAGGTAAGAAAAATGTGGCATCAGGATTGAAGGAAGACACATTACCAACCTGTGATATGCAGATGATACAGCCTTGCTTGCTGAAAGCTAAGAGAACTTAAAATACTTACTGATGAAGATCAAAGACAACAGCCTTCAGTGTGAGTTGTACTTCAACATAGAGAAAAGAAAAGAAAAAAAAATCATCACCACTGGACCAATAAACAGCATCAAGACAAACGGAGAAAAAATCAAAGTTGTCCTTCATTTTCCATCAGCACTCATGGAAGTAGCAGTCAAGAAATTAAGTGATACATTGCATTAGGCAAATCTGCTGCACAAGACCTCTTTAAAATGTGTAAGAGCAAATATGTCAGCTTGAGGACTAAGGTGCGCCTGACCCAACTATGGTACTTTCAATAACCTCATATGCTTGCGAAAGTTGGACAGTGAATACGGAAGACTGTGGAAGAATTGATGCATTTGAGCTATGGAGTTGGTGGTGGCTGTGTGCCGTGGAGTCGGTTCCGACTCATAGCGACCCTGTACAGGGTTTCTGAGGCTGTAAATCTTTATGGGAGCAGAATGCCTCATCTTTCTCTCGCAGAGCAGCTGGTAGTTTCAAACTGCTGACCTTGTGGTTCACAGCCCAATTCGTAACCACTATGTTACCAGCGCTCCTTTGTGCTTGTGACAGTTAAAGGTTTTTTGTGTCAACTTGACCATGCCAGGATTCTCAGGGTTTGGTAGGTAAGATGCAGTAGTCACTTCTGTGATGAGATGTAATATGATGTAATCATCCCTGATGATGTGATCCAATGTGATCAGCACTGATCTGATGGAATTATCCTGTGTTGTAAATTCTCACTTCTAGTGAAGTCCTGTGTGGCACTGTAGGATAAGCACTGAACTGCAATGCAAGGTCAGCAGTTTAAATCCACCAGCCACTCCTCAGAAACCCTATAAAGGGTCGCTAAGAGTCAGAAAGAACACTCAGGAATGGAGTGTGTCTTTTGGACCTCAGGTCCTGTTCCAGATCCCTCCTAGATCCAAGAAAAGGCTGGTGCCAAGACACCTGGAGATCTCCAAGGAATGTAGGACCTATAGGTACTGAAAGGTGATTAGGACCTTTATCTAGAGCTGGTGCTGTGAATTCAGACTTCTAGACTCCCAAATTATGAAAGTATAAATTTGTGTTTGTTAAAGCTATCCACTTATGGTATTTCTATTATAGCAATACTAGATAACTAATACAATGCATAATAAATGAAACCGTTAAAAAGAAACTTTTTTTTCTAAAGCTAAAGAATTTTAGAATATTAGAACCAAAAGTTATGTTAGAAGTTATTTAAGCCATTGAAATAATTTTCAGATGAGGAAATCAAGACACAGCAAAATACAGGGACTTCATTCATGCTTCTGCGTATTGAAATCTTATGATGACACAAAACTTTAGTTCTTTAGCTTATATTTTCTTTATTATTGTGTTTTTAATCTAAAACAGTGACCAACAAACTATAATCTGAAGACCAGATCAAACTACTGACTGCTTTTGTTAAAATAAAGTTTTATTGGAATACATCCAGGGTCACTCATTTACTTGTTGAATATGGGTGCTTTCAAGCTGCAACGGTAGAGATGAGACGAGTAGTTGAAACAGACCATGTAATCCAAAAGTAAAAAAAGAGATACATTAAAGTTTGCAGATCCCTGATCTAAAGCATGACTTGTTTACTTGTTGGGGGCTATAAGAATCTAGTTAGCTGTGTTAGCATTTCCAGAGGATTGTATAGCTAATATTCCTGTGGATGTAGGTTTGTTTCAAACAATCCTAATGTGGTGCATACCTACTTAGTGCAATCTATGGGCCAGTCCAGTTCTCCTGTGGATTTAACCTGGAGCTTCCCACAGATTTCCTCTGTGAGCAATTATTTTCCCTCTCACCTCTCACTTTTACCCTTCCCACACCCACTCTGTCTTCCCATCCTCTTCTACCCTGCTCCTCATTTTCATTAATGATCACTGTTGATACTAAGGAAAAAGATGAGAAAGGTATTTTGTTTGGGTTTGGTGTGGTGGTGGTAAATTATTATTTTTTACATATGTTTTAAAATGATAATTGAAAAATCAATGCATTCATACACACTATTTAACAATTAAGATGGTTCAAAAGGAACATCCATGAAAATTGTTTTCTAAACTGAAAGAAAATTAGTACACCTTCACATCAAAACAAGAAAAAGGATTAAGATAAAAACATTAAGATAACAGGAATGAAGAAATTGTCAAGAAAATGCACAAATAAAATGAACTCAGCACAAAAAATTACATCTAGCATCACATACACATACAAAACTTGCAGCAAAATGAGAGCAATAAATTCATACCTACCAGTAAGTACATTGAATGCCAACGGGTTAAATGCATCTGTCAACAGAGAATGGTAGAGAGTAGCAGAATGGATAAGAAAACAGGATTCTTCAATATGCTGTCTACAAGGGACACACATTACACACAAAGACAAAAAGAGATTAAAAATCAAAGGATGGAAAATTATACCAAGCTAGCAGCAATCAAAGATGAGCAAGTATGGCATAAATAGATTTTAAGGCAAAAACCAGCATAAGAGACAAAGAGGGACATTATCTCATGATTAAAGGATAAATTGAATAAGAAGACATAAGCATAATAAATATCTATGCTCCCAATGAAGCAGCCTCAAAATACATAAATCAAACTCTGTTAGAATTGAAGAAAGAAATAAACAACTCTACAATAATAGATTTGAATATACCACTTTCAATGAAGGACAGAACAACTCGAAAGAAACTCAGCAAAGACACAGAGAACTAAATAACACAATAAATCAACTTGACCTCATAGATTTATACAAAGCATTCAACCCAAACACAGCATAATATGTATTTTTTTCTAGTGCACATGGAACATTCTCCAGAATAGACCATATGTTAGGCCACAAAGCAAGTCTCAATAAAGCATCTTTTCAGTTCATAATACTACAAAATTAGAAATCAACAACAGGAATATCAAGAGGGGAAAAAAATCAAATACACAGAAGTTGAATAACATCCTGTTTACAAAGGTAGTGGATAACAGAACAAATAGAAAATGAAATAAAAAAATGCCTAGAATTTAATGAGAATGAAAACACAACATACCAAAACCTTTGGGATATAGCAAAAGCAGTGCTTAGAAGGCAATTTCTAGAAATAAATGCATACATCCCCAAAGCACAAAGAACCAAAGCCAACACCTTAACCAAACATCTCCAACAATTAGCAAAGCAAAGCTACCACCACCAGAAGAAAAGAAGTAATAAAGATAGTAAATTAGAGCAGAAATAAATAAAACAGAAAAACGATAGAGTCAACAAGACAAGAAGTTGGTTCTTTGAAAGGATTAGTAAAATCGACAAACCATTGGTAAATCTAACCAAAGCAAAGAAGAGCAGGTGCAAAGAACACGAGGAATAACTCTTGTTGCAATGGAGGCGATGGCAATCACTGATGAAATAACTTGTGTGAGTTACTTGCTGTTAAGCTAATGCTCTGCTCTGTTAATCTTCACTCAGTTCACAATAAAAGGTTTTATGAATCCCTCCCCAAACAAAAGAAAAATTGTTCTCCCTTCCATTTCAGACCAAGGCATGCTTGTTATTATAACCTGAGGCTGGTTGGCTTCATGGACATGGTCTCTGGGAAGTCCTACTCCAGTCCTTATGTTGCTGTTAATAAAAATGATTAAGTTTTGAACAAGAGGTCCTGCATTTTTAAAAATTTTTCACTGGGCCAGTCCTACTCTCAGGCAATGTGGGTTATTTCTTGTTTGTCATCCCAGAAATTTCTAACATATATTAACAATTCTGTTATTTGTTGTTAAATGCTGTTGAGTCAGTTACTACTCACAGCGACCCTGTGTAGGGTTTCCGAAGAGTGGTTGGTGAATTTGAACCACTGATCTTGTGGTTCAAACCCTCCTTGCAGTTCACTTCATTATCCTGCAGTGCCACACCAGGACAAAAAATAGGAGTGTACTAAAAAAGGGTGGGGGGAATGTACTATGTACTTTGTTTGCTGTTGTTGTTAAGTGTTGTCAAGTTGGTTCCACTCTTAGTGACTCTGTATAGGGTTTCCGAGGAGCAGCTGGTGAGCTTGAACAGCTGACCCCGTGGTGCAAACCGACTTTGCAGTCCAGCGCATTAACCCTCAGTGCCACACCAGGAGTCTTAGACTTTGTTTTGTTCACTGCTATATACTGGAGATCACAATATAGTAACATACACTCTTTTTAATGGCTGCACCGTGTTCCATATTATGTCTCACATTATTGAAGCAGTCCTCTCATGTGGACATTCAGGTTGTTTTCAGTCTTTCATCCCAACAAACAATACTGCAGGAAAAATTTCTTATACAGATTCATTTTTGTATCCAGCTGTAAGTCTATATATATACTGGCTAAGTTCTTAGAAGAGGTGCTGAGTTAAGGTATATATGCATCTTGAATTTTGATTGTTGTTGATGTTGTTACTTGCCACTGAGTTAGCTCTGACTC